ACTTTCAGGGTATTCTTTCCTCATGTGATGGTTTAAGGAAGAGTTACCATTCACATTCCTAATGGCTTCAGAATAGATGCAATTGTGAACTGGTAGGAAACATTTCTAACTCATCTCCCCTCCCCATCCCTAAAGGATTGTTTCTAACATTAATAGTCATGAAAATTAATTCACTTTTCTCAAATAACTTATTGTCATCTATCTAATGATGAGATGACCTGCTTTTTCTCCTTGACTGTTAAATATTGTGAATTATATTAATGTATTTCTTAATGTTGAGCTTTCCCTTGAATATTCTTTTGATGTACAACAGAATTTGATTCACTAATAGTTTATTTAGGACTTTGGCTGATGTGCTGATGATATATGAGATTGGCTCTGTACGCACACATGTATTTTGTGTATCTTTTTTGTGTCTGGATATGCAGCTTATGCTGATTTCAAAAATAAGAAAGGAGAACTTTCCTTTTTCCTCATTACTCTGAAAAAGATTGACTAGAATGGAATTTTTATAATTGCTATTGTTATTTGAAAGCTTGAAAGCATTGGTTTGTAAAAATTATGCAGGCTGAAAGCCATTTTGAGGAGACTTCTTTGATAACTTTCTCAATTTCCTTCAGTTATTGGTCTTTTAAGGGGTTCTGTGTTTTTCTTTGATCAATTTTGACCATTTATGTTATTTTGGAGGATCATCTATTTTACACACTATTTACAGTATATTTGCAAAATTTTCAACTGTTTTATCAGACTAACTTTTTAATAATATATTCATTTTATCTATATCTGAGGTTTTAGCTTGTTTGTACTTCTGACCCAATTGCATGTGTGCTTTCTTTCTCCTTCATTAGACTACTTAGTCATTTACTAATTTTATGAATAGCTTGTCTTTTATTTATTTATTTATTTATTTTTGAGACAGAGTCTTGCTCTGTCACCCAGGCTGGAGTGGCTCACTGCAACCTCCGCCTCCCGGACTGAAGTGATTCTCCTGCTTCAGACTCCCGAGTAGCTGGGATTACAGTCATGTACCACCATGCCTGGCTAAGTTTTGTATTTTTAGTAGAGACGGAGTTTCGCCACGTTGGCCAGGCTGGTCTCAAACTCCTGACCTCAGATGATCCACCTGCCTTCGCCCGATCTCAGCTCACTGCAAGCTCCGCCTCCCTGGTTTATGCCATTCTCCTGCCTCAGCCTCCTGAGTAGCTGGGACTACAGGCGCCCGCCACCACGCCCGGCTAGTTTTTTGTATTTTTTTAGTAGAGACGGGGTTTCACCGTGTTAGCCAGGATGGTCTCGATCTCCTGACCTCATGATCCGCCCATCTCGGCCTCACAAAGTGCTGGGATTACAAGCTTGAGCCACCTCTCCTGGCCGTCTTTTTATTTTATAATCTATTAGCTTTATCTTTTATCAAACTTGTGTCCTATTTCCCTTTGCTTTACTTCATATAAATTTTGTTTTGGATACTTACTTTATTTATTTTTCATTCATTTGTATTTAATTATGAAACAGGTTAAAGCTTAGAGGAAAATTTCTCCTCTAAGTCCACTTTTGTGGGCAGATTACATTTTGCTGCGTTGTGCTCCCAAATTCATTGTTCTTTTAATGCTTTATTTCTCAAAAAGCAACTGTTGACTCTCAGCTTTTTTTTTTTTTTTTTTTTTTTTGTAGATACAGGGATCTTGCTGTGTTGCTCAGGTTAGTCTGAAACTCCTGGCTTCAAGGGATCCTCCTGCCTTGGCCTCTCAAAATGCTGGGATGACAGACATGAGCCACCATGCCCAGCCATGTCTCTCTCCTTACATATAATAAGAAAACAGATACACTGAGGCAACCTGTCACCTCACTCTTGGTTTCATTACCGTTCTCTGGAAATTTTGCTCTGACGTTTTGCAGTTAATGTATTAATTTTGCATTGAGTAGTTTCCATACAAGAGTTACAGCGTTTGCATTCTATTGGATATTGTACTTGCCACTGTTATTTGAACATAATTTGAGGACTGAAACCAAGGTGAGGCATGTGAAGTGCCCAGGGAGCAATATTTAAGGAGGCATCCTTTTTCAGGCTCATGAAGAATAGAATTAGCACATGAGAGTGAGTGCCTCCTTAATTTTGAGTACTGGACACTTCTTGCTCACTTAGCATAGCCCTGGACAATGAAGTGTTTTTTGTTTTGTTTTTTCATGTCCATCCTTTATCCTTCCTCATCTCAAAACATTTCAATGGAGTATTTTTTGGAGTAGTACTTGGATGAGACTCTGAGTCCCAGAATAGCGAAGAATTTCTTTCTTAGTACTCTACATGATCACTGTGGCGCCTTAATACATTGTAATGTTAACTTAGCTGGCAACAGAAATTTTGTTTTGCGATTTGTCTTATTCAGAACAGTATTGACTTCCTGCTAGTCTCTTCTGATGTCCAATATGAGGAAGTCTAGTTGGTCAGCTAATTTTTGTAGGAGAGCCATGTTTAGGCTAGGTGCTATAGGATTCTCTTTACCCTGGAATTTCTTCACCAAGGTGTCCCAAGGTGTTAATCATTTTCCCTTGCTTTTTGGCTGGTGGTCTTAGAGTTTCCTTCGATTTTGTTTTTATTTAGTGATTGTTCTCAATTTGTTGTGTTTTCTTTACTAAGACTCTCTCATCTATTTATCTGTATGGTAAAACTTTGTTGCCCATCTTTCTAGTTTCTGCTGACTTTCATTTT